GTGTGTGTGTGTGTGTGTGTGTGTGTGTCAGTGGTGGGTTTCAAAAAATTTTGGCACCTCTTCTGTAGGTGTGGCCTGCTTTCCGGGTCCACTGGTGGGACCTCTTCTAACCGGTTTGGTAGATTTGACGAACCGGTTCTATCGAATAGGTGCGAACTGGTAGGAACCCACCTCTGATTTTAACTAACAATCCATTTTCCAACTATAGTGCTCTTTTTTTTTAAACAAGTAGCCAATGAACAGTTGACATAGACCTTTGCTCTCCTACAACATAAAATTTTTAACCCACCTAGATTGAAATCATCTTTTAATTATTCTGTTTATTAGGCGTGGAATTTCTCAATTTTGTCCTTAAATTAATATTAAAAGGCAGCTTTAGGATGTGTCCTGGCAGGACAAAAATTTATTAATGTCTACATAAAGTCTATACTTTTTTGCTGATTGTTTTTGTGCACAATCCAATTTAATGAAGACGTCTGGTTCTGAAAAGTCTTTTGAAAGTAAAAATGATAACTTGATGTATCTTTGTAGGATGATTACAACCACATCCATGGTGGCAAATGGACAGTCAATAATTTGCGTTTGTATTTAGAAAGCACTCGAGGGAAAGATGTCACAAACAAGCTGTTTGATGAAATACATTGGATAATTGTACAATCATTGAAAGCAGTTGCAGTGAGTAGAAAAACAAGTTTATGATGAAGGAAAGTTAAGTAATACAAAAGACCATTCAGATTTTTTCCAGTGGTTACTTATACAAGGTATATTTGTTCCTGAAACTTGACGAAGTATCATAGTAAATGTTTGACATATTTTTTTATTCCTTATATTTTGTGATCCACTATTTTACATTTTCTGCTATTCTGGCATGTCGAATGTCAAACGTAAGGGGAGCTGTGTGATATAAAAGTACAATACATATTTAAAACCAGTAAAAAAAACCAAAAATATTTCCTCCTCCTCCTCCTCTCTTACATGTCTGACTTTAAAAAAAGAATGTAAAATTCATAGGCTAGATGGTGGAGGTATTTATGCAGAAATATGCTCAGATAAATACATATAGGACAATATTTGTATGGTATGCATTCCACTGATCTTTATAAACAAAAATAAAATCTGGAAAAATACGACATTTAGCAACCTTACAAAAGGATGTACAGCTACAAATACGAATTCTTAAAAAATAGCTCAAGGTGAATGATTTATTGAATCTAAACCATCTTATCATTAGATTATGGGAGAAAGCTATCAATATAGCTTTCTGTATTAGGAATGACAAGTGTATTAGCCTTCAAAATACAAATGCTACATAAAACTTGATAGCCTTCCTGAGAATGTTTAAATAAGGAAAAGATAAGACATTCAATCAAGAGTATTCTACTAAGAGCAAAAAAGGAGGAGTTTCATGACTGCAAAAATATTAAGCAGTAGAACAATCTGCCTTCTGGAATTGTAGGTCTTCATTTTATTTATTTGTTCACAAACAAATTGTGTATCTTTTGTTTGACTTCATATTCTTCCTTTTTATATTTAAGGATTTGTATTATTACTAACTGTATGATCAATAAACTTGCACAACTTCTTTGTAAATGTCCAGATTATATTTGAAATGTCTTCTATCCGTTATTTTAAATAGTCTTCAATACACTGTGAAGAAGATCTGATCACACATCCTTCTTCTTGTTTACTTTCTTTCATCATTCATTTACTTACAGCCTGTGATGAACAATGATAAACATTGCTTTGAATGCTACGGATATGACATCATTATTGATGACAAGCTTAAGCCTTGGCTTATTGAGGTAAACAAACTTACATTGTCTTTAAAGTGCTGTTTTTCAGAACTGTAGAAAAAGGAATTACTTTTTTTATTGTTAAAAGACAGTTTAGAAAGGCATAGAAAGCAAAATCAATGAAGTACAAAATCTGTAAAGGAAATACCAACACTTTTGTACTTATTTGAGAAAACTCATAAATCATAAAAAATAACTTCCCAAGCAATTTCAATTCTTCAGTTTAATGTTTTCTTAATTAACTCAGAATCTTTTCTAAGTGCTTCACATAATTGGCCTTATTGAATCAGTAAGGAAGGAGTTAAATCACGGAATTACTACTGATAGAACTCTGCACACTTAGAATCCAAAGATTGGAAGGGGCTATTTATTTCAAATTCCAAGCTCAGTGTAGAAATCTAAATTACTGTATACTTAGTAGGAAGAGACACATATTAGTCCATGGTAACAAAAAATCAGAAGACTTCGGTAGCACTTTTTCAACTAACTGGTATTATTAGAAGGTAGAAGATTCGGTAAGCTGCAGATCTGCTAATTAGAAAAACAGTGCTACCAGATCACTCCCTATTTTATCTGAAGTAGAAATTTTGGTGTGACTTTATTTCATAAGCTGTTATTTATTTAGCAAATGGTGACCATGAATTTTTCAGAGTATAAGACGCACCTTTTTCCCTCAAAAAAGAGGCTGAAAATCTGGGTGCATCTTTTATACTGAATACAGCATTTTTTGCCTCCCGAAACCCTGCCCCCTTCACCAAAATGGCTGTGCATAGTCTTTAGGAACTTTGCAGAGTGCTCCTGTAGGACGGGGAGGGCAGAAATGAGCAAAAAATGGGCTGTTTTTTGCTCAATTTTGCACCCCCAGGAGCACTCTANATCGTACTTGGAAAATCAAGTTAAATTTCTAAAACTCCCTTCTGGTTTCCTACGCTCTCTGTGCTTCAAAGATAACATTGTGCCAAGTGCTTTGTGTCCCCGATTCCTCAGAGGTAGAATTACAGCCAAATAGCTAATAATGCCAGTACTTGTGCTATAATCAAAAGAAATGCGAAAGATATTACCATATGGCTGTGGTTGCAGGGAAGGGTTGAAACAGTTTTCTTTTATGCCTTTAAATTTTTTTCAGTTTCTTTTGCTAAATATATTGAACCAATGATCTTTATTTCTATTGAAGATTTAGTTGTTTCGTGATGATCCAAGATGTTTCATGACTTATGTTACTTGCATATTAGTCAAGATATTTGTACAGTAGTTTTAATTTTTCGCTGGGACTAGATTTCTTTTATTGTTGCAATTTTTTTTTAAGGATGAAAAAGTGGTAATAAAACCCTAGATGCCTAACTAAACTGAATCAGCGTTTGGAAGCATCCTGAGTAATAAACTTGTCTTTACAGGATGAGCGTACAGACTATTCGGAATGTTTTCAGTGTAGAAACTGGTTATCGTCTCTCTGATGACCAGATTGTCAATCATTTCCCTAACCATTACGAGCTGACCCGGAAGGACTTAATGGTGAAAAATATTAAAAGGTACAGAAAAGAACTGGAAAAAGAAGGTAGTCCTCTTGCAGAGAAGGATGAAAATGGAAAATACCTTTATTTAGGTGAGTTGGTTTAGATAATTAGAATTATTTACGTATAACTTTGAATACCAGGTATAGCTAAGTCTGCATCCTTACATCTGCTTAAAAGTTTTGTTTAGGTTTTACTCAACTCGACTTCATGGACACACTTTTATGGAGCAACCTTTTGGCAACAGAGGAGAAATTGTTTTCCATTGCTGCCTTTATGGTCCAGCTTAAGACTTTGACCCCTCATGATGTCCCTTCTGGGCAAAATACAGTTTTCCTTTTCCTGGAAATCAGGAAGTCATGATCAGAACCTGATTTGTAATCCTATTTTCAGGGCAAAGATTAGCCATAATTTGCTGGTGCAGATGTAAAAGTTTGACTTGTAAGTGACTTCATGAACACTTCCATGTTGTTTTCCCAGCTGTTTCAGCCTGCTTTTATTGTAACTTAGCTTTAGCTTTTATTGAACTTGTATGCCGCCCTATTCCCCGAGGGGACTCACAACTTGCATATCAGTTGTCTCATTCTTGGAAACCACAGTATCTGCCATCAGACTCTCTAACAATATTCCTTGCATTTAGGAGACAGAACGAAACATTGTTGGATGCCTCCTTATTAGCATTATTTGGGCAGACTTCTGGCAGCAGCCACTCCTGTCTTTCGAGCGCCTTTCTTAATTACAATTGCACCCACTCCCTAATTACAAAACGGCCTTCGGCCACAGGTACTGCTGCAATTAGCGGGAAGCAACAGGAGCACACAGCCATGGCAGTCAAAAAACCTTACAAACCAACTGAGGATTAACAAGGCAGAAACAGAAGACCAAGGAAGCAATGTGTGAAAAATACTAGCACAGATTTAGTGGGGAGAAATGGCATTGCGTCTGCTGGATTCCATTGGCGGCAGGGGTATAGGATGCTGGGACTTGGCGGAAACTGATGGGTAGCTTAACACCACAGAAAAATTGGGGAGGCTGACATGGCTGTATAGTCAAGCTATAGTGCGGGAAGGTCAATATCATTGCTTTATGTGGTTTATAGCAGTGGCCCCCAACCTTTTGGGCACCAGGGACCGGTTTGGTAGATAGTTTTTTCAGCAGCGGAGGAGGCATGGTTGCCTGCATCCAGAGGTGGGATTTAGCCAGTTTGCACCTATTCGGGAGAACCGGTTCTTAACTTTCTAAGAGGTTCAGAGAACCGGTTGTTGGAAGAAATCTTATTTTGTTTTTTTCCACTTTACAGATCTAATCCTGTAAGGAAGGCAGGAAGGAAACACCCTGGTGTTGTTTCTGGCCTAATCTTTATTGCCCTGCTTACAGAAACTGCCTCTTCGGTTAACCCTTATTACATTGTAACAGCTAAGGCAAAGCGCCCATCTGCATGAGTGACGTTGAGTTGGCCACACCCACCAAGTCACATGACCACTGAGCCATGCCTACCCAGCTGATCATTAGGGCAGAGAACCGGTTGTTAAATTATTTGAATCCCACCACTGCCTGCACCTGTACTTAACTATCTTTACTGCTACACCATTACAGTATTGCAAAAAATACACCTCATATCTGCATCTATGCAATCACTTTTCCAAGATCCCTCCAAACAGCTTACTCCCTTAGCAGATTTCTTAGAATGATCCCAAGGTTGTTCTAAATTCTTTACATTCCATTAAGATTGCTCCAATAAACCTCCTCTGAACTGAGTGGAATTTAAAGTTCCATATGTAACTGATGTAGGGACACGGTGGCTCAGTGGCTAAGAAGACGCTGAGCTTGTCGATCAGAAAGGTTGGCAGTTTGGCGGTTCGAATCCCTAGCACCACGTAANGAGGCATGTTGATCATTAGATCCACTGTAATGTTACTGCAAACTTACTATTAATGCAAGATTATTATGCTGCATGTTATAGTACAAAATGCAATGAATTAATGGAAACAAAATAGTTCCCAAGTCAAGGTACTTTCTTTGAAGCAACAACTGCTATCTCAAGCACTGCAACAGAAATATGCATTCCAAGATTAGTATTTTTTTTTCTGAATTGTTCTAGAATTCTAAAGCAAACTGTTCAAAGCCTAAGTATTTATTGCAAACCAATATCAATATATTAGAAATTGTATTCCTTTATAAGGCATGCTGCTGTTCTCTTCAAAATTAAATATAAATAAAATTTAAAAAATAACATGCTTGGGTGAAAAGGTGTCAAACTTTCTATTGGGAATGCTATGAGAGGTTAATTGTGATGGTATATCACAGTAGTGGCTAACCTTTCTCTCCTCGCGCGCCGGCAGTGCGCGCACACATGCCCACCCCATAATGCAATGCGTGTGCACACACACCCCGCGCATGCGATCCTTCCGTGGTTTGTTTTGGGCCTAGCAGGCCTTCCTAAAGCCTAGTACCAAAAATGGGGCACGGAGGGGGCACCGTACCCCTGTGGCCTATTTTGGGCCTAGCAGGCCTCCCTGAAGCCTCCTGGCATCAAAAACGGGGCGCTCCCCCTGTAGATGCACACACATTTTTATGCTCTCTGCTGCCCACGCATGCACGGCAGAAACCCAAAAATCAGGTGGTTAGTGGGAGGTGTGCCACATGCATGGTGGAGCCGCTCTGGGGTGACGGCTCATGTGCCCACAGAGGACTCTGCCATAGGTTTGCCATCACAGGTATATCACATAGATTGATCTGCATGTAGGCCTCAAACACACAACTCTTTCCCCACAATTTGCTGCATTGCTTCTATTGGCTAAAGACTATAGTTGAACTTTAAAAATAATTCTTCAATGCATAATCTGGCAGATACACCCAAATGCTGACATGTTGCAGCAGATTTGACAAATAAATATTGTACCTCTTAAAACATGGGTTTTATCCACACTATTATTTTTACTTAGAAGTATCATGCTTGCCTCTCAGGAACTGTTCTCTCACTGAAATCCAATTTGAGGAAATAAATGAGCTCTTTGCTAATGAGTTAGCTGAGGTGTACAGCTGATTAGTCACTGTAGTAGTGGGGAATTTTAACTACTCTGACATTAACTCTGCAGGGAATGTGAGATCAAACAAGTTCCTGACATGAATGAAGGCACATATACGTGTCCCAGGATAATGTCGCAGGATCCAACCTGGGTCACACACCAGGCCCAGAGATTTAGTCTTCCAAGCTTTAGGACTTATTATTATTATTATTTATAAAATTTATATGCCGCCCAATCCCGAAGGACTCCGGGTGGCTTACAAAAAAAGAGAGAGAAAAAAAAGACACATAACGAACACATAACGAGAAAAAAAAACCTTGTGCTGGAACCCTTCTTCAGGGAACTTGAATTCCCCGAGGATGGGCTCCAGCATTGCTGAAAGCTCAGAACAGTAAACCTCTGGTCCTGGTAACTGACCCAGACTGGATCCTGCAAATTCATGGCTAGCTAACAACATTGACATGCAAAAGATAACAGGAGGGAACAAGAGGGACAGTTATACTGGACTTAATTTTACCAATAGGGATGAAATGGTTGAGGGAGAAGTTATAGGAACTTTGAGGAAAAGTGTCAATGTTATACTTGAATTCACCATAATGCAACCACAGATAATTAGTCAGACTAGTGTTTTGGACTTTAAGAGAGCTGACTTTAACAAATAGCTGTTGAACAAGATATTCTGGATGCTCTTTAAGGCCCCCTATATACAGTATGTTTCAGTAATACACTCAGGAGGTAACCAAACCTTGTGTGACTGTTAATAAAATTTAGGAAAGTGCAATTGGTTAGGAATTATCTGTATCATACCAGCTTCTTTTTCTTTCTGGATAAGGGTGCCTCCTGAAAAGTAAGCCTGGATAGAACGTTTCATTTTACACTGAAATCCACTCTCTTGGCTTTTCTGTAGCTTCCTAGAATGGCTTTGATGTTCCAGACTAGAGCCTATAAGCTTTAAAGTGTGACTCCTGGTAGTATGTTCATACAAAATTATTCAGCAACAAGATGAGACTGGCTTAACGTTTGCCTTCTTTCCGGATTTTCATTTTCTCAGCCAAAATTCTAGCGCTGAAATTCCCAGAATCTTCTCATCTAATCAGGACTGGTCCTGCTGAGATCCTGAGACCCAGGGATGTCTGCTGGTCCCAAAGGCCGAGGTTCGAATCTATGCATTGTTGGTTGGGGCTCTGGTTGCGTTTCGTCACCATTCCAGGAGACCTCATCAGTGCATTTTGAATTGTGCTCATCTGTCAGAACTCAAGTTTTTAAATACCTTTTTTATGTGATGCAATTTAGTCTGAATGTTGTTTGTTCAGATACTTCTGAGTCATGGTCTGATTTCGGATGGTTTGATTGGCTGGCTGTTGTTATTGAAACTAGTCCGATTTCTTGTGAGCTGATTTATAACTATTCGTCATTCCTCCTACCTGAATTAAAGCTAAGGGTGGAGGAGAACAAAGAAATCAAGTCACAGCCATACTTTGATGCTGCTTCCACAATCCTCTCTTTCAACAACTCAGATCACAAGCAAAGTTGCAATATCTCTTGGGGAGAAAAAATAAATAAATTTAGAAATTTAACGTCGATTAGCAGCTGGAAAAAAGCACGACTCTGATTCGCTAAACAGGAGACGGGATCGTTTACAAGATTAGAAGGGATCCAATTAGAAGAAAATCGCTATAGATCAGGGTCGGAGTGTGGACTCCTTGGTCCTGCCTAGCTTGGAGGCGCTTGGTTACCTAACCGGGTAACAAAACGTGCGCACAAGGCAACCACCAAGTTCAGAGATCACCGAGAACCACCTTGGAAAAGGATCTCCCATCCCACCAAATCCAAGACTTGGAAAACGGTGATCAGCCCGGTTTCCAGGTTCGCTCCGCGCATGCGTTCTACTTCTCCGCCGTCGAAGTAGGAAGTTGAAGCCGATTGGTTCGCGAGGATAACCAACGGGATGGGTCCCTTCGTTTTAAAAAAAAAAGCCACACCAGAAGCGAAGGGAGCGGCTTAAAAGCGGGGCGGATGCGGATATCCTGCAGTTTTCGCCGCCATCCAATCGGGAGGGGCCGCTTCTCGAGGCGGCCAATGAGAGCCCAGGAGAGAACGGCGGAGGCCGTGAAAGGAGTCCTTTGCCTCCGAACTGAGACAGGCGACGAGAAGGAAGGGAGGGAGGGAGGGGGGCGGGGGCTGGGATCGGAGTTGCTTGGCCATTCGAGCTGCCCCGGGGAAGCCGCCGTGGAGGCGAAGGGCTGAGGCGGACCCTCCTCTTCGCCGCTTGGAGCCGGGGAACTTAGTGGACCAGTAAGTAAGCGAAGAAGGGAGATCGGCTTCCTGTCGAGAGAGTTTTCTCATTCAGCCTATAGCGAAGATGGGTCGCAGGCTAGCGGGATGGATCCCGGGGGGAGGGGGGGATCTGGCAGGGGGGTGGAGGCTGCCGGTCGTGCGAAAAGTCTGAAAGTGGACTTTTCCCACTCGCGATCCTCCTGTGATCACCTTTTGGTCCCCTTTTTTGAAGGAGCTCGTTGCCCCCTGAGTAGGTCGAAGAAGAAGTCGATTGGTTCAAGGTCATCGGCCAATGAGCCTCGCCCAAGGCTGGGGAGGGCGGATCGAGGATCCAGCTTTGCCTCGCGGGTGGAATTCCTCCTATAAGACCACCCTCCGGCAGGAGGAGTGGGAGTGGTGGCTGACCCAGCCCTCCGTTTGTGGGAACGGGTCGTGGTTGTGTCTGTGTGTGTGTCTGTGCATCTCCAGCCATGCAAAATTGCCTGGATGACTTTTGAGTCAAAACTAGTTTCTCACGGAGTGGTTTAAAATGAAGGGAGAAAAAAACTCCTTCAGGA